GGTTAATGGGAATAATAAAATCCCTGAGAATTATAGTCAAATATTCTTATCTACCCAGTCACATACCAAGACATGACTGCATATTAAAATGGATGAGGATGGATTAACAGGAAAATGACTGAGTAAGAGGCATTAATATAATATGGATAAAAAGGGTAGATATAATAAAAGATCTACAATTCCGAAGTTGCAAAGATCTACAATTCTGAAGTAAAAAATTATTCAACATAAATTAGCCATCATTAGTGATGTTCCGAACAGTTCGCCGAACGGATGGCGAACATATGCGCTGTTCGGTCCGCCCCCTATGTCATCATTGAGTAAACTTTGACCCTGTACCTCACAGTCAGCAGACACATTCCAGCCAATCAGCAGCAGACCCTCCCTCCCAGAGCCTCCCACCTCCTGGACAGCTCACTAAGAATGCAGCTTCACAATGAATGTAAAATGGATGCTGTCCAGGAGGTGGGAGGGTCTGGAGGGAGGGTCTGCTGCTGATTGGCTGGAATATGTCTGCTGACTGTGAGGTACAGGGTCAAAGTTTACTCAATGATGACATAGGGGGCGGACCGAACAGCGCATATGTTCGCCATCCGTGGCGAACCGTTCGGCGAACCGTTCGGGACATCACTAGCCATCATTACTAGTAACCACATTTCCAGAATATCTAAGAAAAAAATCAAAAAGAATAGTCATCAAAACAACTTTAGCTTAATAATTTAGTTTTGGTGTATCATTAATCATACTCTTGCAGTCTGCTTAACTCTATGCCAATGTAGGAGTTCATTCACTTTTGTTTCTGCTTTGAAAAGTTGTGGCTAGGGCTGCTTGAACAAAGTGATTTAAAGGGACACTCTGGGCACCAACACAACCTGAATGCATTTGATAGATTTTGGCCTTAGTAATATGCTGTATTTTTTGCAAGCTGCACCATAAAGCTGTCTCCTTAGCCACACACACTCATGCCAGAAAGACTTTCTCATCATTATGCATGGGACTTATAAAAGAAGCAAACATATAAACGCAATTTGTATGAAAGGGTTAATTTTTACTTTACTGAGAGGGTAGTGGATGCATGGAATAGCCTTCCAGCTGAAGTGGTAGAGGTTAACACAGTAAAGGAGTTTAAGCATGCATGGGATAGGCATAAGGCTATCCTAACTATAAGATAAGGCTAGGGACTAATGAAAGTTTTTAGAAAATTGGGCAGACTAGATGGGCCGAGTGGTTCTTATCTGCCGTCACATTCTATGTTTCTATGTTTCTATGTTTCTAATTTAGCCAAACTTCATGGGGGCACCAAAAAATGTTTTATTTACCCTTGGTTCAACCTGCAGGTTTTCTATTTTATTTTATTTATTTGGGATTGGACAGAGACAAAAGCTATAATTAGCTGCACACCTAAGGACAGATATGTTTCATATGAAACAATCTGCTTGTTCCTGATAAATATATAGTATATTATATAAATATTGTTATATGGATAGCAAACTTGCAGCTGAAAGAAAATGGAATTTGAAATCTGTGCAAGTGTCACACTCTCAAGCTTTTAGAATTACATGAGAAAACCTCAAAATGTCTGCATTGTGCGATGAGAGACTAGGGTGCCAAGGATAATTTGACATTTTATATTACATTGTAAAAAAAATTGTGTTACTGTCCCTCTAATTAAATTATTCATTTCAGTGCCAGCTGTCCTCTTAAAGGCACAGGTCAGCATCCATAAAGAGCATCTATGTCTTAACACACAAAGTCATTGAAGGCTGGTGAGTTTCTCCTAGCAAGGGAAAGTGCTTTACTCATAATCATTCAATGTAATCAAATCTTATAGCAATCCAACAATGAATATCTCCCTCTTTATTTTTTGTATTTATTTTTAAATTTAGATTGCCATTATGGAATCCTCAGAATATGCAGACATATACACATCGACAACATAAATAGCTACTATGTGATGTGTATGGAATGTATTTTGTAAAAATGCAGTTCACTTTAAAACGTATCCCCTCTAGTACAATCTCCAGAAATTCTAACACAAACAGACACCAAAGAAACCTTCTGCAGATAGTTTAATAACCGACCATAATTTAACTTGGGGAAACTTGGACTCCAAAATTACATAAAATAATAAAAAATCACTCAAGCATTAAAAAGAGATTCAGTGCAAACATGTGCATAATTATTAAAACCTCTGGTATCAGCTTCCTGGTAATCACCCAACGCGTTTTCTTCTAATCCTGGGCCTTTCTTCAGAGTGTAAATTAATGCCTGGATTTACAGTATTTTAAATGCAAAATATGTGTGGTTTCATAGTCAACTGATTCTCATTAAATGGCTTGCCCCATATCTTTCTTTCTTTCCATATTTCTCTTGTTTGTCTATTTCTATTTTCTTCTTTCAGTCAATAAAAGGTTTGTTTTCATTCAAGTCTGAAATCCCAAACTTGTCATAGGGATGAATCACAAAACAAAAGGGGCAATAGACCAAATGTTTAGTTAGTTTTGTGAATAGGAGTCAGAAAAGAAAAAAAGATGATTCACAGGAAAAACGATAATTGATGACCAATAGAGGGGAAAATGGAGGGGAAAAAAATAAATATATTATATTTAATAAATATGTAATACATGAATGTATAAATATAGTTTTTTAACTTCTCCTCCTTTTGCCTCCTCTTTTAGTTACTGTGACGAACTGAACCTCATCACCAGTTCTTGGAGGAGCCTGTTTGCAAGCCTCCTGCCCTGTGACTATGGCCCCTGGAAAAAACTGTGGTTTAAGACACTGTCTGTGCCTTTTGGGACTTGTATGGTTACACTTCAGACTCCCGAAGCGGTTCGAAGTGACACTTCGAACACGTGGCGGCGGCCATCTTAAGCCGCGAGTACAATGAGCAGTGTTTGGTTGTTGGGTACATGGAACTCAAATCGGACACTCAACGGCACGAACACCGCTAACTACTTACCTTCCACAGATGTTCGGCTATTCGAACGGGAGTCAAACGGCGTTCGGTAAGACTCCTGAACGAGAGACATGAACCGAGACTACTCCCAAAGCTATACGTTCGGTATTTTATATTTCACTTAGAATCCCCAAAGTAGACCGACTGCACATTTTGATTCTCTGGTACTGTTTTGGGCATGGGACCATGCGTGCGGTCGGTCAAAATGTGACTTCCATAGAATTCCTGAACCCCTGAACTGATCTGGGTGATTTTTTGATATTTTGGTCACCCCAATCAGGGCTATCAGGAGATCTAACATTTGTGGGGATGTACGGTGGTGATGGTATTCCAGTGCAGTTCCAGTGCAGTGCTTATGGTGCTCGCAAGTACTAGGAAGCAGCGATTCACGGAGGTACCCTACCAGGGTGCCAGGCAGTCTGTCACAGTTACTTCTCATTTGATCTGTGAACCAAATAGCATGAACAGGCACTGTACTACAAAATACAAAATATATACATAATATTTATGTTATGTACCTGTGTATATGAACCAACATTTTGGTTCATCCAAATAATTTTTGCATGGATGAAATTCGTCTGAATCGAAAATCTTGAATCACCTGAACCAACATTTGGTTTCAGACAATTTGACCTGGACAAACCATATGTTTGCCATATTGTTTGCCATTTGGAAAACCAAAGCAAAATTTTATTTAGCCTGTACAGAATGATTATTATTATTTTTATTATTTTATTACTTATATAGCGCCATTAGATTCTGTAGCACTGTACAATGAGTGGACTAACAGGCATGTAATTGTAACCAGACAACTGGACGTACAGGTACAGAGAGGTGGAGGGCCCTGCTCAATGAGCTTACATTCTAGATGAAGTGGGGTATAGTGATACAAAGGGTAAAAGCAGGGCTCGAGTCCTGCAGGAACGCATGGGAACGGCGTTCCTGCACTTTTTCCAAAGCAGGAACGCCGTTCCCGTTACCTGTCCTGCAGGACCGGTCCTGCTACCTGCACAGAGGGGCCATCACACGCTGTGTTCCCTCTCCAGCTATAACTCTCGCGAGACCCGCGGCTGTTACCATGGCAACGCTCCGCACAGGCGAGTCTCGCGAGAGTTAGAGCTGGAGGGGGAACACAGCGTGCGATGGCCCCTCTGTGCAGCGGCTGGCTCCCTCCACCGGACCACCAGGCAATCTCCCCGCTCCCTGACAAGGTAAGAAGCAGGGAGGGGGGAATAAAATAAAAATTATACATAAAGTAAAAAAAAATGCTTCCTCCCCCTCCATCATCCAGCACTCACACACCCATCATCCAGCACACACACACCCATCATCCAGCACACACACTCACACATCATCCAGCACTCACACACCCATCATCCAGCACACACACTCACACATCATCCAGCACACACACTCACACATCATCCAGCACACACATCATCCAGCACACACACACATCATCCAGCACACATCATCCAGCACACACACCCATCATCCAGCACACACACACCCATCATCCAGCACACACACACCCATCATCCAGCACTCACACACCCATCATCCATCACTCACACCCATGACTCACACACATCCAGCACTCACACACATCATCCAGTACACACACATACACACACATCATCCAGCACTCACACACACATCATCCAGCACTCACACACACACACCATCCAGCACTCACACACACATCATCTAGCACACACATCATCCAGCACTCACACACATCATCCAGCACTCACACACATCATCCAGCACTCACACACACATCATCCAGCACTCACACACACATCATCCAGCACTCACACACACATCATCCAGCACACACACACACATCCAGCACTCACACACATCATCCAGCACTCACACACATCATCCAGCGCACACACACATCATCCAGCGCACACACACACACACACACACACATCATCCAGCACTCACACACACGTCATCCAGTGCGCGCACACACATCATCCAGCACACGCACACACTGCATTCATTATACACACTCTTCACTCACTACAAGCACACTACATTCACTATACACTCACTACAAACACACTACATTCACTATACACCCTCTGCATTTACTATACACACGCTGCATTCATTATACACATTCTGCACTCACTACACACTACATTCACTATACACACTCTGCATTCACTACAAACACACTACATACACTGCATTCATTGTACACACTGCACTCAATACAAACACACTACATTCACTATACACACTCTGCATTCATTATACACACTCTGCACTCACTACAAAAACACTACATTCACTATACACACTGCATTCACTATACACACACTGCACTCACTACAAACACACTACATTTATTATACACACTGCACTCACTACAAATACACTACATTTATTATACACACTGCACTCACTGCAAATACACTGCACTCACTACAAATACACTACATTCATTATACACACTCTGCACTCACTAAAACACACTGCATTCATTATACACACTCTGCACTCACTACAAATACACTACAATTATTATTCACACTGCACTCACTACAAACACACTACATTTATTATTCATACTCTGCATTCACTACAAACACACTCCATTCATTATACACACCCTGCACTGCACTATATGCATAGGAGTGTAATTTTTTTATTATTTTTTTTATGGGGGGTGGGAGGGGCAGAGGCGGGAATCTTGGGTGAGTTCCCACACTTTTTTCCCCAGGACTTGACCCCTGGGTAAAAGTAAGGGTACGAAGTAGGTTGTTAGAAAAGTTTATTGAAAGCAAGGCAAAACCACTAATGCTTGATGTGAATAGGGCTAAAAGGGGTTCAAGGGTTAAAAAACCAAGGCAATAAGACAACAATAATGCAAAACATATCACTTAAAACCAGTTTGTAAATATAAGCCTTCCCCCACCCTGCAGAGCTCAGTCTGTGCGGAGCCCTCCATGTGAAGATGGATTTTTTTTTTTTTTAAGTGCGTCGGTTATTATGGATTTTGATTTGGCCTTTTTTGGGGCTGAAAAAAGAAGATTTTAGAAGAAAGAGACATCAAATGGTAAGTTTATTTTTTTTTTTACAGGTATCTAGCTTATGGACCCCCTCATTATTTTTAGGATGATGGGGGTAGGTAGGGGGTATTTTTTTGAGGGAGGGGCTGACGGGGGGGGGGCTTAAATGTTTATTTAGGGTCCCCACCCACCGTGCAGGGGTGGGGGCCGGGATCAGGACAATAGGTCCCCCTTATTCTAAATTTAGAGCCCCCGCCAGCCGCGCCAGCCCGTCAATCTTATTTAGGGCCCCCACCCACCATGCAGCTGTGGGGGCTGGGGGGAGGACAGTAGGTCCCACCCCTCAATCTTATTTAGGGCCCCCACCCACCGTGCAGGGGTGGGGGCTGGGGGGGAGGACAGTAGGTCCCCCCTCAATCATATTTAGGGCCCCCACCCACCACGCATTGGTGGGGCCCAGGGGGGAGGACAGTAGGTCCCCACCATCATTCTTATTTAGGGCCCCCACCCACCGCTCAGGGGTCGGGGCCAGGGGGAGGACAGTAGGTCCCCCCCCTCATTGTTATATAGGGCCCCCACCCGCTGCTCAGGGGTGGGGGCCGGGGAGGAGGACAATAGGCAGGGGAGGGCTGGCAGCCTTATGCCTGGGGGGCAAAACCAGTCAAGTGGCCCATTGCACCACCAAATCAGTTCACCATCCATGCCCACCTTTTCCTGGTTTTATAACGGATATTGATGTCATGCTAATCAGTAGCTCTTTGCCATACCTGCTCCTTCACAGCTCTGACTTTCAATGTTGTCAGAGCGCAGGCTGAGAATCTCTGAGCCTGTGCTCTGACTCACTAACTGAGCGCCGGAACCACAAGGGAGAGGATATAATCTGACTGCACCTCCTGCTGGTGCACACCAGTGAACCACCAGCGAATCGTTTAAATTGAATATGCTGGTGTCCCCAACTTGTGAGCTGTGTTGGCCGCCGCCCGCCTCTGTTGTCATGGCACCCTGCGTGACCACACAGCTTGCACACCCCAACGGCTGGCCCTGCTGACACACACTGATGTTACTACTTAGACATCCCTCAATATTAATACAGAAATCAGAGTAAACACCAATAAATTGTGGAAACAGAGCTGATCCCCCCCAAATTTATAAAGATTTGCTTAGTGGATTTGTTGTAAGATTAAATCATGCCTCCTCCTCTCTCTCTCCTATGCGCTGCTCTGTAGGCTGGGAGGAAGTGAAGAGTAATCACATTCTCCCAGCACTGTGCCACCTGTGGCTGCATGGGAAACAGCTGGTTAATGTAATGCTTGCAGGACGGCCAGCTGCCGCAGAACCTCTTTGTTCCCGTCTCTGCAAAGGGCTCCAGGCACTGCTTGCTGTGAGTGTGAGCCACTGTAAATTAGGGGCAGAGGGCACTTGCACTGCGGTAAAGACAGGCTGGGCAGGAGGAGAGTGCAGTGCAATCAGTGCACTCCCCTCCTGTGGGTCACCAGTAGACTGGTGCACCTGCCCAGGATCAGAGCCGGTGCAAGGATTTTTGCTGCCCTAGGCAAAAGAAAAATGTGCCGCCCCCCCCCCCCATGTGACATCACAATGCCCCACCCATATGATCTGCCATATGAACTAACGCTAGTGCTGCACACAGTGTGTGTTTACATTAAAAAGCCTGCAGGGACAGGCCATAGTCACCAGAACCACTTCATTAAGCTGCAGTGGTTCTGGGGACTATAGTGTCCCTTTAATGTGAGGTAAATTATAGATTAGTGTCACGAATATCATACTAGATTGCCTACTTACAACCAGATGAGGATGATGATGGGCTGCAGTTTGGCTTCACTGGTCTGGTGTAGAACAGGATCTCTGGAGGCTGTTTGCAACTGTAGTCACAATATTCAATGTTCTTGGAGAATTGGAAGCAGTTCCATTTTTGTGTGGCCCATTATACAGCTCAAGGTCTGGGCCCCAGGGACTGATGGTGAGTATGCCCATAAGGCCCACTCATAAGTCCATTTATATGTTCCACCCACCCATGACTCCGCTCACAGGGAGTGGAGTGTGTAGGGGATGTGTTATGTGTTATTGTAGAGGATCTAATGCTTATGGTATGTAGTGTATAGGGATACCAGTTTGTGTAGGTGATGCAGTGTGTTTGTGTGTAGTGGAAGCAGTGTGTATTTGTGTATAAGGGATGTATTGTGTGTTTCTGGTTGTGTGTAAGAGATGCATTGTGTTTATGTGTGTATGTAAGAAAAGCAGTGTGTGTGTTTGCATTTGTGTGTAAGGGTTTGCATTATGTGTTTCTGTGTATGTGTCCAAAGGATGCATTGTCTTTGTGTGTAAGGGTTGCATTGTGTGTAATGGATGCATTGTGTGTTTCTGTGTATGCATAGGGATGCATTGTGTGTGCGTGTGTGCGTAGTGTGAAAGAGCTCCCTGTCTTGCCCCCTGTCCGATAGAGCTGTCGGTTCTGTCCTTTAGAGCTCTCCCCCACCCTCCCCTAGCGGTCTCTTCTCACACTCACCCACCCTCCCTGTGCTCTTCTCATCCCCACTCCACCCTCCCTGTGTTCTTCTCACTCCCCCCCTCCATGTATTCTCCTCATTTCCCCTTCTCCTCTCCCCCCGTCCCTGTGTTCTTCTTACCCCCTCTCCTCCCTGTGTTCTCCTCATCACCCACCCTCCCTGTGTTCTTCTCAGTCCCCCCTCCTCTCCTCCCCTTCTCCTCACCCTTACTCTCCCTCCTCCCTGTGTTCTTCTTACTCCCCTTGTTCTTCTTACCCCTTGTTCTTCTTACTCCCGCCTTCTTCTTCTTACCCCTTCTTCTTACTCCCCATTCTTCATCTTACCCCTTCTTCTTACTCCCCATCTTCTTCTTACCCCTTCTTCTTCTTCTCCCCCCCTTCTTTTCTTACCCTTCCTTATTCTTCTTTACTCCCCTTCTTCTTCTTACCCCTTCTTATTACCCCCCTTCTTTTTATCCACCTCTTCTTCTTACCCTCCCTCTTCTTCTTACTCCCCCCTTATTCTTACTCCCTTCTTCTTCTTACCCCCCTCTTCTTACCCCCCTCTTCTTACCCCACTCAGTGTGCACTTCCTGTCACTCCGGCCGGGCACCGCGGACCGGCGAGGAGTTCTGCCATGCTACAGGGGAGGGGAGGGGAGGGGAGGGTAAGGGAGGGGAGAGGAGGGGAGAGGAGAGGAGGAGAGAAGCTGTGCTGCAGCTGCCAGAGGCTTTTAAAAGAGCGCTCAGGCGGCTGCAGCATTAGGACCGGACCGCCGCGGCCAGTTTTAAAATTATTTAGGGCGGCCTGGGGGGCAATTGCCTCCCTGCCCCCTGGCCCAGCCCACCCCTGACAATAGGTCCCCCCCTTTATTTCACTTTAGGGCCTCCACCTGCCGTTCAGAGGTGGGGGCCAATAGGTTTTTTTGTTTTTTTTTACAGTGAGCAGCCACTGTTTACTAGACATGCCCCTACTCGCGGTATAGCGAATAGGGGCTGAATTTACTAATACTAAGTCATCTGCACTTAGTATTAGTAAATGTGGCTGAAAGACCAATTTAGGTCTTTCAGCCTTTTGGTAGATAGCTCCCTAATACCGTGGGAATTGGGGAGTTATCTACTAAGCGGCTGCTTATTTTATGTTATTTTAAGTGATTTCCCTATCCACATTTGTTTGCAGGGCACTTGTCCTACTCTTACCCCCATTTTACTTCCTTTGGCAGCCCTCTAGCCCTTTCCAGGACTTTTTTAGAGGCATTTTAGTGCCCAAAAGTTCAGGTCCCCATTGATTTCAATGAGGTTCGGGTTCGGGGTCAAGTTCGAGCTCGAACTCGAACTTTTGACGAAGTTCGGCCGAACTCGGCGAACCCGAACATCCAGGTGTCCGCTCAACTCTAGTTAAAACAAGAGCTAGACTTGTACTTAACTATACGTTCATCAAAATTAGTAAAACATAAAAATGTTTTTAACATAAAATTTTTTTACTATTGTATGTAAAATGTTATCAACATTGTGCTACAAATATTTTTCAATAATTTTTCTCAAAGTTTAACCCCTTAAGGACACAGCTTCAGAAGCTTGACTTACACTTAATGACACAAGCAATTTTTGCATTTTCTTGCTGTTTGCGTTCAACTGCAATTTGCATCTCTCTCATTTATTGCACCGACACATATTATATACTGTTTTTTAAAGGACAGAAAGGGCTTTAATTTGATATAACATATATATATATATAATGCTTACTTATTATAAAAAAAATACAGAAAAATGCAAAAAAAAATTAAAAATATTGTTTTTTTTTACAGTTTTTGCAATAATAATGTGTGCATAATTAGTGCAGGTTAAGGAAAGTAATTAAAAATAAATTTATTTATTTGTTCTGATTTACAGAATATATAATGTGTCTGGGATTTTAAGTTTTTTTTGGTAGTTACAGGTCACAAAGCACAAGGAGTAAAATAAACTTTTAATGTGGAGCGATTTTAGAATTTGGTATGTTTGTCTTGTAAGCTTAATAGCCATAAAAGAAAACAAAATTGCCACACAAAAGTATATATTTATATAAAGTAGACATCACGGGCTATTTACCTAAGGTTGTTTTGACACTTTCTACGTAGCCATTTCACCGCCAACCTCTGCTAAATAT